AAGGCTAAAAGAGAATCCTTTTTGCATTCCTGTATTAAAGGGAATATTAAAACCACATGGAGTCACTGATGGGATCTGAACATCAATGGGATCTGAACCAGCTGAGTGCCAGTTAAAAAAAATATTTAATGGCAGTCTTACTTTTGACAGTGATACTTAGGAAACATTTAATTTTGAATTCAAGACATTAACACTGGTTTATGCCATCATTATGCAGTGAGACATTTTAAAATAGCGTATCTGAAATCCCAGGAGGGCAGGTAAAATGAGTTTTCCAAATTATTACCTGAAAACCGTTCAAAATATTTGTCTATTTTATAAGGAAGAAAAACATGTGGTAAAAATACATTGTTTGAAGGTTAAAACTAGGTAACACAACTGGGGAGTAGGTCTATGCCTCAGAAGTCTTAGGATCCCAGATATGAGAAATAATAATGCCTCTTATCTACTGCCAAAAGGTTTTGTGTGTTTTTCCCTGCCATTAAATGAACTTATATGCTTTAGAAGACCAAGTTATCTATAAAAAGTATTTTTTTTTTAATTTAGGTCAAGGTGCTTGAGCCTGCAAGCATAGCACCCTGTCTTAGCTGTAAGCTAGCACCTAAAGACAGGGCATAAGAACTGCAGCTTTTAGGTTTACTCTGATTGCCTTTTTACTAAGATAGTACAGGGTTGCTGTACAGGATGCAAAAACGCTTGGGAGTCACTGTTTCCAACCTGAAACTAACAGCAGAGGACGTTACCTTCTCTCCAGTCCCTTCACACTAGCAGTAATCCCACGTACTATTACACTGCGGGGAGAAAAGGCCAGGAGCGCGGCAGCAAGCGAGCTGAGGCTTTATAGGTCAGTCAGGCACAGAGCCTGGCAAACAACCGCTTCTCCCGCCTTCAGCCAGGCCGGAGCCGGCCCTGCCCCGTGAGTCAGCGGCACGACAGCACGCGGCTTATTTTTGGCCCGCCAAGCCCCGCGGCCGCCCCCACGGCACCGGCTGCCCCCGCCGGACGCCGGGAAGGGGGGGTGGGGGGTAGGGGGAAGGAGGGGCCGGCCACGTGACGAAAATTCGAACGGCCGGCGCGGGACCCAC